TAAGCTAGAAAACCATCCCAACCCAACAATCACAAATAAGCCTGCATACAACGTTCACCTTTGCTGACGGAAAAAACGATTTGCCGCGAAATATTTGTCATCACTGCCGTTTGTAAAGGGCAGCGTGTTAATTGATGACGTCACCACATAACCCCAAAACAACAAGTGGTGTTCAACAAGTCGTCCACCTACTCGAGAAGAAGTCCAAACTCCGTTCCAAGACGACATCGAAGCTGAATCCATACTACACCATCCAAGATAGCATAGACAGCATACAGGTGAGTGTGCCAGTGCACCATAGTTGTAGTAGTTGGTTGCTTAACTAACGACATTGCATTGCGTCAACACCTAGAGAGTAAGTAGGGTATCGGTTAGGGAATAGGCGCGATGACTCCTACCAAAGACAATCCGCCAGCTTCGCCACCGGCAGTTGACGATGGACTCTTGGCATTGCAGGCAGCTCATCATGACGGTCTCAAACAAATCAATAAGAACTTCAAAAAGGACTCTTGTGCCAGGAAAACTAAAGCCTACTGCCAAGTCCGGCTAGATAAGGTTGAGCTGCTGCATAAAGAATTCTTTGAAGGTCACAAAACCCTTGTTTGCTCTTCTCTGAGTCGCGATTCACCATATTTTAAAGATTCAGCGGCATCAAAATTTGAGGATCTCTACTTCGACTTGCGTGCTGCACTGTTAGATGCCTTGGAAGAGCAACAGCCTAAATCAACGCAAGGCGCTCCTCCGAACCCATCTGCGGGGCATATGCAAACGTCGTCGCTTGAACTACCGAAATTACCCCTGCCATTATTCACTGGAAAGTACACAGACTGGCCAACTTTCCACGATGCCTATATTCGCTTAATTCATAACAATTCGAGTTTGAGTATGATCCACAAGTTCCATTTTCTGAAAAGGGCGCTACCTGATGATAAAGACCTCGATGTGCAGCAAATGGATCTTACCGAAACTAACTATCCTACAGCCTGGGAGTTAATAGTAAAGCGGTACAATAACCCTCGACTTCTTTTCATGCACCACATGAACAAGCTGTTCAGCATATCTACGCTTACGAAAGAGCAGTCGGATGGGATTAAATCACTTCTAAACGCGGCCAGGGTGTGCATCAATGAGTTCCAGCGACTAAAAATTCCTATTTCCGACTGTGACCACTGGATTGCCTACTACGTATCAATGCAGCTCCCTAAAGAGACGCATCAGGCATGGGAACATCATTTAGGTAGTAACACTTCAATTCCAACCTTTACCGCACTTGAATCGTTTTTAAATGATCGCTTAGTTACAATTAACGTGATCGAAAACAGGCAGCGTCACATTGATGCGCCATCATCCTCAAAGCCTAACCCGTCAGCTCATTCGCCAGAGAAACGCAGCAGTTGGAAAGCGAATCAGTCAATCAGCAGAAGCTTTCATGTAACCGCCCAACCAAAAGGGGCAGGTTCGTGTTACCTATGTGGTGATACTCACATATTGCGCCGTTGCTCGACTTTCCTGACTAAGGACTGTTTCGAGCGCAAAGCTATTGTTGACCGCGCAAAATTATGTTTAAATTGCCTTAGCAACTCGCACAGAGCTGCTCAGTGTCCCAGCACAAAAAATTGCCTTCAGTGTGGACAAAGACACCACACCTTGTTGCACTTTCCGAAATCAGCTCCACAAACCGATGGAGCTTCAGCAGCACAACCACAGCTGAATCCCACAGCTCTGCCTTTCCGACGTGAAAGCACATTTAGTTCAACCACCACAGCCTCAAAGGCAGCAAATTCTGCTTTTGTAGCAACAACAACTACAGAAAAACCAGGGCGACAGGTTCTTCTAGCAACTGCAATGGTAATTATAGTGAATAACGTCACTGGTCAAACAGAAATTATACGCGCTCTCATTGACAATGGCTCCGAAGCAACGATAATCTCGGAACACGCCGCTCAAACCGTTGGCTTGACTCGCACTCGAACTTCAGCGGAAATCTCCGGGGTGACCGGCACCCCCTCAAAACATTGTAACTTTACTGTCAGTTTTAGCATTCGCTCATGTATCAATCCTGATTTTCACACTGAAATAGACGTAGCCTACGTTCTTAATTCGCTCGCTATCCATCTACCCAGTGAGAAAATTGTGGCGCAGCAATGGCCGCACATACTTGGCCTGCAACTCGCTGATCCCACTTATTTCCAATCCCGCCGTATAGACTTGCTCCTCGGAGCCGATATGATGGCCCGTATCATGTTACCCGAAACTCGCATCGGAAGGTTCGACGAACCAATCGTACAACGCACACAATTGGGGTGGATCTTGACCGGAAATGTAACGCCAGTTTCCAAACGCTCAACAAGCATTCGCTGTCACCACTCCACGCTTCAACTTGAATCTCTCGTTCAAAGGTTTTATGAACATGAACAAATACCTGAGGACCGAGCATTATCTCTCGAAGAAAACTGGTGTGAAAACCATTTTCTGCAAACACATTTGCGTCAACCCAATGGCAAGTATTTGGTAAGACTTCCATTAAAGCATTTGTTTGATGAAACTCAAACACTTGGCAAGTCTAAGCAAACATCACTAAATCGTTTTTATTGCCTAGAGCGCAAACTTCAACGCGACGAGAAAATGTGCAAGCTTTACAGCGAATGCATCCATGACTACTTCGTATTAAATCAAATTACGCCCGCTACAACAACGGAGAGCGATCACTGCACCTTCACTCCGGCGACTACTCCAACGGTGACATCGTGCGTTCTGCCGCATCATGCGGTGCTTAAAGAAGAGAGCTTAACGACTAAGTTACGCATTGTTTTCGATGCTTCGTGTAAGACGACGAATGGCAGATCTTTGAATGATGTTTTGTGCACTGGCCCGGCGCTGCAAATGACTTGTCGGCAGTAATCTTGAATTGGCGAAAACATAAATACGCGTTCACTGCTGATATACAGAAAATGTATAGATGCATCGATATGCACCCCGAAGACTCGCAATATCAGCGTATCATATGGCGAAATAGCGAAGGAAATATTCAAGAATACTGTCTCACTACAGTCACGTTTGGAACGGCCTCGGCTCCATACACCGCAATACGTGTACTCCATCAACTTGCCGAAGATGAAAAGGAGTCATACCCACTAGCAACAGAGGTTCTAAAACACGAATTTTATGTTGATGATGTGCTATCCGGCAGTGACTCCATCGAAGGCGCTATAGCTATTCCTGAGCAAGTTACTGCAACCCTGCGCTCTGCCGGGATGAACTTACGCAAATGGAGCAGCAACTCGATCGCTTTACTGGATGGAATTCCTCCGGAGCACATGTCAAGAAGCAACTGTTTAAACTTCAACAGCACCGAAACGGTCAAAACACTAGGCATGTGCTGGCAACCGAATCATGACATGTTCATTTTCAAGCTTAACTTTGAAATTGATTTCTCAGCAACAAAACGTGCTATGCTATCCACAATTTCTCGGCTGTTTGATCCACAGGGACTTATTGCACCTGTCATAATAAAGGCTAAAATTCTGCTGAAGTCTGTGTGGATGTACAAGGTTCAAAGCGAGCGTCAAGAGAGCATGGCTCTCGGGTGGGATGAAGATCTTCCAGAAGACATAAATCATCAGTGGCAACAGTTTCTAAGCACCTTATCTACCCTGCACAGCATTAGGATTCCCAGATGGCTACAATACGAGCCAATTTATATCAAGTCACTACAACTTCACGCCTTTTGTGATGGCTCAACCGCAGCTTATGCAGCCAGTGTTTATCTGCGTGTAGAATGTTCCGACCATAGAATTTATACTACCTTGCTTATAGCCAAGAGCCGAGTAACGCCAACGAAGGCTCTTACAGTACCGCGCATCGAGCTCAGCGGTGCCGTGCTGGCGACAGAATTGGCATCTTGGACCCAACGGTCGTTTAAGGCTAACGTTTTAGATTTGCCCATTTTTTATTGGACCGACGCTACAATTGTCTTGCATTGGATAGTCGGTGATCCCAACCGATGGCAAACGTGGGTATCGAATAGAGTAAGTAAAATCCTTCAAGCCTCTTCGCCTCATCAGTGGAGCCACGTCGATACGCTTCAAAATCCTGCCGACTGTGCAACTCGTGGATTAACTCCCGCGGTTTTATCGACATTCGCGCTATGGTGGGCTGGTCCTCCCTGGCTAAAGCAAGCTGTCACGGATTGGCCCAAATTTGACCACTCAGCAGTGGATGTGCAAGAGGAAGTAGCTGAAGTCAAGCGCAAACAACTTCAAGTGCACTTTGCTATCGCTGAAGATTCCGTAATTTTTCGGTACTCTTCTCTTCACAAAACGATACGTGTGTGCGCTTACATGTTTCGGTTCGCCTATAACGCTCGTACCCAAACTGCTACGCGTTTGACGGGACCTTTGTCAGTCGCAGAACTGAACGAAAGTTTAACTAAGATTGTGAAGCTTGTTCAACAGGAAGCGTTTTCGAAAGAGATAAGGTGCATTGAAGGAAAGGGGTCGCTGCCAAGCAATAGCAATCTAACGAGCTTAGCACCATTCCTGGATGATCAAGATGTTCTTCGCTTACGCGGTCGAATTCAACGAGCTATGTTACCATATACACAAAGGCATCCAATTATACTACCGAGTTGTCATCACTTCACTTGGTTGGTCATCAACAGCTCGCATATAACAACTTTGCATGGTGGCCCGCAACTAACTATATCTCACATTCGACAGCAATTTTGGATTATAAACGTCAGGCGCGCAGTTAAGCAACAATTGCGTAAATGTATCATCTGCTTTCGCAACAAACCAGTTGCAGCCTCACAGCTAATGGGAGATTTGCCCTTTCACCGCGTCAATCCACCGCAACGCCCCTTTCTAGCAACCGGTATTGATTATACTGGTGCTATCGAACTAAAATCATCACGGTACCGGGGGAACACCACATACAAGGGCTACGTTGCAATTTTCATTTGCTAAGCAACGAAAGCAGTTCACCTGGAGGCGGTTACCGGAATGTCATCCGAAGCCTTTATCCTCGCACTGCAAAGGTTCATCGGCCGGCGAGGACTGTGCAAAGATATGTACAGCGACTGCGGGACGAATTTTGTAGGGGCGGATAAGGTGTTGCAGGTGAGCCAGCGGAAATTTCTCGAAGACATCAAGAAAGATGTCGTTCCACATATCGCCAGCCACGGCATCCAATGGCATTTCAATCCCCCTCACTCCCCCAATTTTGGGGGTCTGTGGGAGGCTAATGTGAAATGCGTCAAGTACCACTTAAAGCGCGTTCTAAATGGTACACGCCTTACCTTTGAGGTGCTATCAACACTTCTTGTACGCATTGAGTCATGCCTAAACTCTCGGCCACTATGTCCGCTGACTTCAGACCCAGATGATTTGATGGTGCTCACCCCCGGGCATTTTCTCATCGGGAGCCCGCTTCTTTCACCGCCTGTTACTTCAGCGGTACCAAACGTTTCACTTAGTCAACACTTTATTCAAACACAACGAATGTTACAACACTTTTGGCAGAAATGGACTTCCGATTGGTTAGCTCATCTGCAAACGCGACCAAAATGGTGCAAAATGCAGCCAAACTTACAACTGAATGACTTAGTTATAGTCAAAGATGACCGACTACCACCAAATGAGTGGGTTATGGCTCGCGTTATTGAACTCCATCCCGGATCAGACAACCTGGTGCGCGTAGTCACCGTACGCACAAAAAATGGAACGTATAAGCGCTCAATCTCTAAGCTGTGTCCATTGCCGATACCCACTTATACTCAAAATTAGCATTCCAGATTTTAGCAACGAAATACTGCACTTGGCACACTCTCTCCTCTTGGCCAGCGTTAAGCCCAAACCAAATGGAGGACTATGCTGATCCCAGCATGGGGGGCGGCATGTTCGAACTCGATCGAACTATTGCCCTGGCCGTCGCCTTTCAATTCGCTGTTATTTTATCATGCAAACTGTCGCCACAATCTGGCATTCTCTGTGGCTGAGTTAGCCGTCGCCGCGTTCTGGCATCCATGTAAATCGAGGGCGAAGAGAGCGAAAAGAGACAGAAAACGGAGAAAATAAATGCATCAGCTAAGAAAGGTTGCCAACTAGCGGGCATCCTCTCCGCATGTATATATAAGTGTTTCACTAACCTTGTAAATATATATCTATATTATATTGTGTCAAGTACATACCTAACGGAAGAAATCTGAAGTTTTTTCTTCTAATAAAATCAAGCCTTCGCTTCAGTACTGTTTTTTCTTAACCCCAATACGATGCA